TAGTAAAATTTTCTAGTCACATTTTTTTCCGTGTAGATAAATAACATTGAAACTTGTATAAAAAAAATGCTAACAACTCTTAGACTTTAACTAATATTTTTAAGTAATTATTACTAGCAGTAAAGAATTACAGAAACATAAATTTCCTGCTTTTAGCTTTACTGAACTCTTGTACCATAATCCAGATTATATATCTGCTTCAATAGATAAAATTGGCTAAAGTCTTTGCTGGCCCATTGTACTTCTTAATTTTTTATTAGTTTTTATTTTGAAAAGCTCCTTTCAGCAGTTGTACTTACTGGTACTGTTAACAAAATTTGAATAACAATATAAATATTTGGATACATTTCTTTCAACTTATTTTCTATTATGTATTGGAGCAGCTGTTTTACACCTTTATTGAAATCAGGTAAATTTAGGATCATTATTTGTAAATCTTCATAAAATTCGTAAGGTTTGAAATCACTACTCTCACCCACTCGAGAACAGTCCACTTTAAATAATTTTAAAGGTGATGCTTTTAAAAACAAATACAAAAATAAGTCAAAAATCATATAAAGGGGGACGTCTTAGGAAAGAAATAGAAAAGAAAAAAAAAAGCGAAACGTAAAGAAAGAGAGCGCAAACAAAAACGCAAAAGAAGCACCTTTTAAATGATTTACTTTTCACCTCTAGAATCGAATATTAGAGGAGAATAAAAAAAAGTAAACCAAATCGGAACGTTTTGTTAAATATAATAATTCGATTTTTAGTTTTTAATATAATTATATTGTTTTATAAATAAAGTAGTTTATTTTTAATATTCTTGCATAGAACGATTGCCAAAAAGCAGTTTTGAATTGACACACTATATGTGCGTAATAGTTTAAATATTTCTCTTTAACGAGCAAAACTTTTAAAGGTTCTAACCATAAAACCATTTTTTTTTACTTATTTTAGTTCAATGGACCGGTTTACTTTTTATTTAATATTTATTCCTTTCAATCAGTGGATTCTCACATCAAAATCTGTTTATACAAACAGAAAACAAAATAAGCGAATATATGGCCATTTACAGGATTTTTCCAATGTAGCATACCTACTTAGTAAAAATTGTAGTTTGTGCAACAAGAGTAGATATGGACAATCAACTTGAGTCGTACAGTATATTTTTTCTACGACCCACTAACAAAAATCTACAAATTTAAAAAATTATTTTAGGTTGTTAAGCCAAAATAATTAATTTTAAAATAATTAATAAATTTTATTAATTTATAAATTAAAATAAACTTAAAAAAAATTGTCTCGAGCATGAATTCAAACCCGAGCTATTCGCGTGAAAAGCAAATGCTCTGCTCACACCTCCACGGCCACTTTTGTGATTTTAGTTTTAATACTCTTAATTAAATTAGTTTCATAAAGATTGATAAAAATTTTCAAAATGTTAACCAAATAATACTAAAAATTATATTATTTATCGTTTCTACACAAAAATAACTTTCATTTTAATATATATTTAATCTTAATAACCAAAAAATATAATGGCAATTAGTTTGACAGAGTTAAAATAATAATGGTTGGGTGTCTAAAATATGAACTATGATTGGTAGATTTAATTTTTTTGCAGTCTTCTCACTACCTAGAATGGATATGAAATATATTCGTTTAGTTGAACGCAATAGCATAATTCGTTATTCGTTGTTTTTTATATTAAAGTTAAAATAGAGAGTGTTTGAAAGTTAACATTCTTTTATATAATTTTTGCTTACATATAGGTAGGTCAGATGTGAGAATAAATATTTTTCATAAGTTAAAGACAGCTGCATTAAACTTTTGAGGCGCGAGAACCTTCAGGCCGCGACGCCGTAGACGGTGGCCCACGTCGCCCACGCCTTGCGCCGCTTCTGAAACCCTTTTTAAGCATTTTTATCGTCGAGTTTTGCTACTTTTGGTGTAAGTTTAGATATTTTCTTACATCGATAATAGCAAAACTAGACGGCGCAAAGGATTTATTTATTGTTATAGACTAGAAGCAAATTATTTCATTTCCAGAAACAAATTAAAAATTCCATCGCTGTGAAACATTATTTTAAATTTGACAAGTTAGACGAGAGCTCATACCACCGGAACAAATATTTATGTTGTTCAACCCTCTCCTGTACCAAACTACCAATAGCAAGTAAAAAACACGACATAAAACGGTCGCCTAAAAAAAATATTGTATGCACCTCGGCCGTACGATCATTTTTGGTCTAACCAGCTTGGCCAGGGACGCAAATTTCCAATTCGGTTAAAAAATATTAACTTTACGGCCTTGGTACACAATTATAACAACGGTAACAATTATAATTTTTATCTGTTTTTATTTTTTTGATAATTAGTTTGTTATTTATTGAAAACCCTATTTACAAAACAAAGAAAATTGTGTATCTATTTAAGTAGATCTATTTTTGAAACATATTTAAACATTACTCAAGATTTGAGACATTAAAGATATTAAAATATTAGTGTTCTATACAAAACTAGAAAATTTCAAATTATCTTAAAAGTCTTACAATAAAAAGTAATGGTTAAATTTATTTTGGGTTCCAACAGCTGATGCCTGGGATGTTAAATCCTATTCATCAACATTTTATGTACCTGCTATGAAAAACTAGTAGGGCCTCAGCACACGAACAACGTTGCCATATTTAAGGGACTCGGAATTGACAATAAATAAATAAATTTAACGGAAATACGAGAGCCTCGCATTGGCAATAGAAATTATATACAAAACGCTCGGAGTGCACCCTAGTAAGAAATATAATGAACTAAAAACCGTATAAGAGGAGATATACACATTACATATGAGTCCAAAAAAAAAAATGAGATTGTGGTTTTGGGGGGTTGGGTGATGAAAAATAGCTCTATTTACACGTGTTTGACCTGCGAGGCCCGTTTTCGGGCCTCGCATGTGAAAACCGGGCCTCTAATAGTATCTTGCACATGTATTTATGGGTCTCGTATGTGACAACTATAAATGTATATATATATATATATATATATATATATATATATATATATATATATATATATATATATATATATTGTTATGTTTTTATCTTTAATATTTTAATTTATTATTATAGATATATTTTATATTTCTTACCTTTATTTATTTTTTTTTAACCTTTTTCCGGCTTGTCTTTGTTTCGAGCAAAAAAATTCTCTCTCTCAGGGGCGGTTCTATTAAATCTGACTGCTTAATTGTAAATCAAAATCTTTTTTTATTTTGTATACCTTGATTGAAATATTGTCCTTTTTTTTACTTAATTTTACCATACTATATTTTAAATTGAAATAAATTTGTTTAATTTTAGACATAAATTAACCATTTATTAACCATTAATACCTTTTTTATAAAAAAAATTTAACTTAAATTATTAAATAAACACTTGACAAGAAATACCTACTTAATTATCTAAAAGTATCTGTCGTTGAACTCATTTTAAATATTTAGATTGTTATCTAAAATTGTTGTTAAAATAATTTCAACTTCTTAGTTGAATTAGGCCTAATCCCTTTAAAAAAAAAAACTTAAGACTATCTATTTTATAAATAACAATTTAAATTTTTTTAAAGTTATTGTCTAATTTCATTAGAAAATAACTTTATTTACTCGTTGCGCCATCTATTACCAATATTAGTAACATTTAATGTATAATGAATAGTTTTCTATTCTCTTCAAAAATTAAAAAGATCTAATTCATTAGATAATATTTTTGTCATACACATTGCGCCATCTATTACCAATATTAGTAACATTAAATGTATAATGAATAGTTTTCTATTCTCTTCAAAAATTAAAATGATCAAATTTACACTAGATGGGATAAATGTTTGTTTATGATTGTGTTACTGAAGTACCAAATCATGGGTGGTAATGTTCACAACCGAAATAAAATGAGCGATTTGTTTCTTATTGTCTGTATAAAAAATTTCATTTATATTCGGTAAGTACTATTCGTAAACCTTTGTAATATGCATATATAATTAATATTATTTTATTTAACTCCAGTTCATGTATTAAAAAGAAATTATTTTAGCATTACACTTATCTGGAATGTCTTCCTTCTACGGTCATCACTAGGATTCGATAAACTTGAGTTTGCGGTGAAAACCAGAAATTCTGATGAACAAAGATTCCAATTGTGATCCTCGTCTTAACTATGAAGGTAGGTACATAGTTTATTTAGCTTAATAGTACATTACACTTACTTATTATGTAACTTTTGACAATTTTTAAGACAAATTTATTTCAAAAAATTATTTTACTAATCTTTTCAAAATTTTTAGATGCTGACCCGTTCACAAAAAAAAATGTCTTCCAAAAAAAATTGAAAAAGTTTATTTTCGTTGTTAGGGACTCAACCATCGAAACGACGGAATGCCTATCAAGGATGCATTTGTATTACATATTTTAATGAAGTTTATTTTGTGACGTCATTTCAATCAAAGGTATTTCTAATTATTATTTTTATTTATCAATAGTTTTTTGCTAATTATTTAAGACTACATGTCAAAATTGATTAACATATTCTGAGATCATACAGGGTTGTTCATTATTAATGAATATCATTAGATTAATTTGTTTACTCGATTGTCAGTTGTAGTATTTTAAGTCTAACTGTAAAAATTACTTCAAATATTTTAGAATCATACAGGGTTGTTCATTCTTAATGAATATCATTAGATTAAATTGTTTACTCTCATTTGATATTTTATTTTTTTAATATTTATTTATATTCTTGTTTTACTTACTATATTACTATATTGCATTTCTTCACATATATATATATATATATATATATATATATATATATATATATATATATATATATATATATATATTATATATATATATATATATATATATATATATATATATATATATATATATATATATATATATATATATATATATATATATATATTTCGTTGCGTTGTTACGTATTATTTAAAGTGTTCTAGAACGTATAAATATGGAAAGAAGACATTGCGTGAACAATCCAAATAATTTTGGTTATATCTGTGGTAGTTATGTCGTAGTAAAGCAGAGGCAAACTATAACTTCTTTTGTAAAAAATGTATACCACGATTATTTTGTTGTAAAAATTGGCAACCAAGACAAGTCCTGGGCTCCTCATACTGTTTGTTCTGTTTGCGTTGAAGCATTAAGAAACTGGCAAAAAGGAAGGAAGAAAAGTTTAAGCTTTGGTGTTCCTATGGTATGGCGAGAGCCTAGGAATCACAGAGATGATTGTTATTTCTGTTCGTGTAATGTTCAAGGATTCAACAGAAAAAATAAGAAACACATTGTGTATCCCAATCTTGACTCTGCTATTTGACCAGTTCCTCATGGACCAGACGTTCCGATACTATCGCCCCAAAAGAAATAGAAAACGTCATATCGTCAGTATCAGAGGAATCTAATTCCGACCCATATGACTCAGATTTCACACCAGATTTCAGAGAGCCCGAAGTGTTTAACCATAGCGAACTAAATGATTTAATTAGAGATTTGCACCTTCTAAAGGATGCATCCGAATTGTTAGCCTCTAGACTTCGTGAGAAGCATTTACTAGCACCTGGCGTCACATCAAGCTTTTACCGGGATCGCGAAAAAGAGTTATGTCAATATTTTACTCAAGAAAGACCGCTAGTGTATTGCAACAATATTCCTGACTTAGTTTCAAAATTAGGAAATGTGCTGTATGTTAAAGAAGAATGGCGCCTGTTTATTGACTCAAGTAAGCATAGTTTAAAAGGCGTTTTATTGCACAATGGTAACGAACTGACCTCGGTTCCCGTTGCACATTCAGTGCATTTAAAGGAAACGTGTGAAAATTTAGAACTTTTTTTAAATAAAAGAAACTACCAAGAACATCAGTGGATACTTTGTGGTGACCTTAAAGTGCTGTGCATGCTACTAGGACAACAGGGGGGTTATACAAAATTTCCATGCTGTATTTGTGAGTGGGATAGTCGGCCAAGAGATAGACATTGGACTCAAATAAAATGGCCCTCTAGAACAAGCCTTACACCTGGTAGCAAAAATGTATCAAGAGATAGCTTAGTTGACCCCAAAAAAGTTTTATTGCCTCCTCTTCATATCAAACTTGGCTTGATGAAGCAGTTTGTTAAAGCCTTAGACAAAAATGGACAGTGTTTCAAATATTTGTGTAAGAAATTTCCAGCCTTATCCGATGCTAAGATTAAAGAGGGTATTTTCGTTGGGCCGCAGATAAGAACATTATGCAAAGACAAGGATTTTCAAAACACAATGATCAATGTCGAGAAGAATGCCTGGGTTTCATTTAAAGAAGTAATTGATAAGTTTCTTGGGAACTCTAAGGACGAAAATATTGTTCAAAATATGTTACACTTTCATCGTCTAGGTTGTAATATGAGTTTGAAAATGCCTTTCCTGTTTTCACACTTGAACTATTTTCCTGAAAATCTTGGAGCAGTTATCGAAGAACAGGGAGAGAGGTTTCACCAGGACATTAAAGAAATGGAACGGCGATACCAAGGCAGATGGAGCATAACGATGATGGCGGACTACTGCTGGATATTGAAACGGGATATGCCCTTAAAAATTTACAGCCGAATGTCTGGACAACGCCGCTTTCTAACAAAAAGACTAAGATGATTTCACTCAAAAATGACTGAGTAAAGTTTTTATTCACTTTGTTAACTAGGTTTCCACTTTTTTAATCAATAAAAAAATACATATATTTAGGAAATATCGTTTTTTTTTCTTTAATATTGGCAAAAAAACCTTACGTGATACAAATAAATGTATAGAATTTTTGAAATCAGCCTACCAAAATTATATAAAAACATCTGTCAAAAAGTTTAATTTTGTAGACATGCATGTCAAAATAGATTGTAGCTAAGCAAAATATGATTTTAAAAAAATAAGAAACGATATTTCGAATACAACAATTTAGATATCCGTCTGAAGCTTATACTTTGATTACTATACGGTGCAAGAGAGAGGTCCGATACGCCCAACATAGAGCGTGGCCATTTTGATTCCTATGCCACTGTTTATAGCTAAAGAATCAGATCGCTCACTCTGCGTCGGCACTTTTGATTTCAATGTTCTAGTTTATACACTGCGCAACTCGAATAATACAATATATGACAATCGCCTATAATAAAACAGCAGTTTTCTGCGTATCCTGAATTTGTATCCCAGGGCCTCAATTCTCGACTTCACCGGAAAATTTTCCCATGGATAAATATTCCCATGCTTATATTCCAGTGGTAATATAAAACAGTATTCGCGACTAGGTTAGGAATCTTTTTCCTATGGGAATTTCGATTTCTCGTATGTCTAACGTGTGTCGGGTATTAAGTACGTAAATATTGGAGACTGACCAATCATAATCAATATTATATTTCAATACTTTCAAGTAGTAATGTTGGGATCCTTGATACTATCGTCAACTTTTGACTCTTGTTTTGACACATCTTGTCAGAAAAATCAATCAACCCCCTTTCGTTAGAAAATAACGTGATACGATGGATATTAAGAAAAAAAATATGTCAGAGGCCCAAAAAAAAATGCTTATTACCTTCATGGAAAACGATGAGGAGCTGAGACAGGTAAAATTTACTAATATGTTTACGTACAAAGAAGCCCAAAAAAAGATGGAAGTACATCAGTGAAAAATTAAATAGCATCCCCGGGGCAAAGAAGGACTGGTCTTCTTGGAGACGAGTAAGTAATATTGCGTGCATAAAGTCTTAGGGATACCTTTTTTACTGTTACCTACACATGTGCACATATTAACAAATACACAGTCATTGTATATAGTTATTTTTCACACTTAATCATTAGAGATTTTCCAAATGGTACCTTTTCTCATAATACAATTTTCATTCAGACATGGCAAGATCTTAAGAAAACTATTAAGAGGAAGTCCACCATTATAAAACAATATACTGAAGGAACAGGGGGGGGGGTCCGGCTCTTAAAGAACTAAACGTAAATGAGGCGAATGTATTAAATATAATTGGTAAAACATGTCTGCATGGTAATGAGTTAGTCCAGGAATCCTGCATTATAGTAAGATATATATTTATAAAAAAATTTTATGTAACTGATAGAAATTATTTAAATTTGCCCATTTTTGCATCTAGATGTCAGATATTAATGAATGGAATAGTTTTCTTTAAACATTTTTTGGATATTTTAAAAAAGATATATTTTTAAAAACTGTTAAATGATAATTACCTTAATTCTGTTTCTTTCTAATTGTTTTTATTTTTCAAATTTCTTATTTGCTTTCAACCAATTGAAACACATGCACTTAAATAAAATAAATCAATGAGTGTAAGTAATTTCTAATTTTTTTACTAATTACTGAAATTATTTTATAGGATCATGATTATTTCAAAAGTAATGAGGAACAATTAAGTGAATATGAGTAGGAAATATATCCTGAATGTGGTGGACAAATAGTGCTGGAAAATGAAAATATATTATGTGCTGAACCTAGTACAAGTGGCATAATAAAGCCAAAACGAAGAGTAACTGCTACAAGGTTAACTGAAACCTTGAAGACTAGCCGAAATATTGAACGCATGTTACAAAATAAAAACTTTAATAAAGAAAATTATTATGACAAAAAACTCAAGTTGTTAGAGAGAAATGTTTTGGCAAAAGAACGAATAGCTTGTGCCTTGGAAAAAATAGCAGAAACAAAGGAATTTTAAGGATTTTTAACAGTGTTTAATATTTTAGCTTTAAGTTTTTTAACATTTAATTATGTTATCAACATTTGCTATTCATTTTGCGTAATAAAACAAAATGTATTCTGAAATAGCCTATTCCTAATAATGAAACAAAATTTATTCTGGGATTGCTTATTCTAGAAAACTTGCGGTGATCATATTTGAGAGACATGGCCTCCAGCTTAAATATTACAACTTTTTTTGCTTCAGGGCCACGTCGCTTATATATGAGAGACAGAAAAAGTGAAAAAAATAGTTAAAAACTACAAAAAAAACACAGAATTATCAAAAGACCTTTATTTTGAGTAAATACATACAAATATTGTTAAAATGTAGTTTGGCCCCTGAGGCTATTTTCGCGATAACAGCGAGGCACGCAATGTGTTAAATAAATATAGATTTCTATAGTAACTATTTTATTTTCATTAAACAATTATAATACTTAAAACCTTAATGCATATTAATTAGGAAAATAAAATAAAAATAACTATATATTGTTTTAAAACACTAACATTTAATCAAAATAATTTCTTATAATCTGGCGCTGCAGTCGACGACCATCTTCCAAGTCAGGATTTCGGTTTTGTCGCCGATTCCTATCTTCATTGTCAATATTAACATTAAAGTTATACATTCCCAAATCGAGGTTTTGATCTGCTTCTAGATCAGGCTCAGGTACATTATACTGAATACATATGTTATGCAATACACAGCACGCATTGACTATTTTTCCGGCAATTGTTGGTTCATAATGCAGCACACGATGCTTGAGTAAACATCTAAATCGCATTTTTAAGAGCCCATTACATCTCTCAATCAAACATCGTGCACTGCATAACTGGGTGTTGTAGTCTGCTTCTGGTGTACCATCCTCTGCATTAGGAACTGGTGTTTGTAACCACTTCCTTAGTGGATATCCAGAGTCTCCTATAGATATAATAATAAAAAACAAAATAATTAAAATCGACATTAATTACCAATCAAGTAGTAATTGAAATTCTCATTTCGGCTGGCCTGTTGAAGCACATGACAGACATTTGAATTTCTCCAAATGTGAGCATCATGAGTACTGCCTGGAAACCTTGCATTCACGTTGAGAATGGTCAGGTTTAAATCACAAATCTGTAATTATAAAATACACATTTTAGTATTATGGATCTTTAAGTTTTAAGAAAAGTTCATACTTACTAATTGAACATTAATTGAATGATATGATTTTCTATTTATATATAAATGTTCATTTTCAGAAGGTGGGAATATTGCTACATGCGTACAATCTATGACACCTATTATTCCTGGTATACCATATTTTTGATAAAACCTAAAATTAAGAAAATTAGGTACGAAACTGGAATATCTCAATTATTCTATTTTGAGGCACCACACTTAAGTTTTTAAAAACTTACTGCATTCGCCTCTGATCTAAATTTTCCCCAAGTGTAAATTTGATCCATTTTCGGAATACTCTTGGGTTATTTAAAGCATCAACGATCTCTTTAATGCAACGGCTAGCAGTTGACTGGCTTACAGGGAAATGTTTATTTAAACCAATATCAGTTTGGTAACTTCCAGTAGCAAAAAATTTCAAGGCAATTAAAAGCTA